TAAATATTTTATTTCAGCCCATCATTAAAATAAAATAAATACCCTGCCTCTACACAAATTAATTCCATACAAAATTTAATTGAGATGCCACATAAGCCAAACAATAATTTAATACTTAAATAGATCACAAATTTAATTGGCTTAATTTTAGATAGCGTCTAATGTATAATTCTTTATTTATATGTATAAAATCTATTGGCCCACATATGAAAATTTTCCATCAGTATGGTCATATATTGATACTCTATAAGGAAAAAAATTATGTTTAGCAGTGTCTAAAATAGTTTTATGATTAAAATTTTAACATAAGTGATCACAATAAAAGGGTTTAATAATAAATATATAATAATATAAATTTATTTTTTAATAAATATATATTTGATAGTCATTTTATAATATAAAAAAAACATTTTGTTGAACGTAAATTCAAAATGAATTGTGAATCATTTCTTGTATGAAAGAGAATTATGCTTCTTATAGTTTGAACAACACATTTTCAAATTATATATTTTATAGACCTCACACATAATATATTAAAAAAGTACAATTTAATCATTCTCTCTTTATCACTTTTAATACTTCGTCTCACTTTTATTTATTATTATTATTATTTTGCTTCTCGCAATGTCGTATCTGCAAAACTATTTTAGATAAACAGAGAGTCACAGAATGTATAAACTACTACATCCAATTTAATCATCAACCCTAATATATATATAACCTGCAGGGCTGGTTATAAAAATTAATAATAAATAAATAAAAAGTATAGAAGAAAAATGAGTTCAAAGATGAGGGCTAATATGTAAATGAAAAAAATATATTTTTCACTCCAAATTATAAAAAATTGAATTAGGAGAGCTAATCACTTAATATATTAATATTATTTTCCAATTATCAAGATTAATGGGACTAAGGCCATATTTGATAGGATTATGTACTGTTGTTCTATTTTTATTGTATTTTGATGTTCTTTGCACATTATTCAAGCATGACAAACTATTGCAATTTTCTTAAACCTGTAACTAATTTTATTCTTTGAACTGTGGTGATAAGTAATTATATTAATTAGTTGAAGTATTTAATTAATCTCTGATCAGGATTTGTCGGTCAAGAATGCAATAGTCCATAAAATAAATTGTTAAATTACTACAATATATAGGTAAATTTATAACATTATATAAATTATTATATGTAATTATCATATAATTTTTTTTTAAATATAAACAAAAATTTTATTACAAATTTAAGTAATTATTTATATATTATATTCCAATCATTTTACAATTCATTAACTAAAATTTGTCCTCCCCCCTCTTACATAAAATTCACACAAACTTATCAATATAAATAAAAAAAAGTCAACTTCACATCTTCCAATGATCGATCCGCCAAGATTTCTATAACGGATCCTTATCAATCCAAAGAATAACATATCTTCTTAAACTCCTCCACGTGCTCCTCCGCCAGCGCCATGAACACCTCGACGCCTCCCTTCTCCTTCAACGACGGCACAAATATCATCAGCCCTTCCACCGGCAAATTGGGCGGAAGGAAGGCGCACGGCGCACCGCTCCCGAAATCCAGATCGTGGAAATTAAACCTCAGCCAACTATCCACCTCGAGATTCGGGCACAGCGCATTCCCCATCGCCGGAGCCGACGCCGCCATCTCTTCGTCATTCTTCTTTTCCAGCTCACCGAAGTCAATAAACGACCGGAAATAACCCTCGTCGATCCTCTGCACCGCCTCGTGTATTATCTTTACGGCATTAGCCAGCCCGCCGCCAGTCGTTGATGTCAGCTCTCCGACAGTCGACTTTGGGTGGGCCCACAGAACGAAGTTTCCGAATAACTCCATGGGGACCGCGGGGGACTTGAGCCTCGCCCGGCCGTTCACCGCCACCCTGACCTTGGTTGACTCGTTGGCTTTGAGGCCTCTCGCCAACGATATCTTGCGCCAGAGATGGGCGAGGAGGGCCTCGAAGGTGCTGCAGCGGCCTGGCACGGCGGACTTTAGGCCGGAGATGAAGTCCGCCGAGAAGCGGACTTTCAGATTTTCAACGGTGCATGCGGCTTCGATGGAGGAATCAGTGGCTGCAAGAATTTAAAACTATTGTTAGATATCCTTTCAAATAGCACGATTAAGCGAAAAAATTCGTATTATTAATTTAAATAAAAATGTATATATTTGCTCATATTTTTATTTTTAAATTTAATTTGAGAAAATATAATATAAGAATTGAATTATGTTTAAAATAAAGTCAATTATTTTAAAATTCATCCTAATCAAATTCTAATTATGATATTCTCACAATCTTTTTTACTAAATTATAAGTTATCTTAGCAGATATTGAGTTGGATTATTTTGATTTTAAAATTTTCAAAGAAAAAAATTTCAGTCATATTATTGTAATTAAAATTTTAGCCAACTATCGAGCGAATTTAAATATACCTGAAGACTTGAACTCAATCGCCCGGTGATTGTACTCGCATCTCGGTGGGTTCCTCGGCACAACGACGGCGGTACGGTCGAGAAACGGCAGCGGGTTCGGCGCTTTACCGAAGCGAACCATCTGCGCCCACGCTACGAAAAACATACTCATCGACTGCCCGTCGGCGACTCGATGGTGCGACGTCGAACCGATCACTAGCCCGCCGCAGGCGTAGCGGTTAAGCTGAATTTGAAGAAGCTCCTCCACGCCTTCCCCGATATCGGGGTGAAGCTTAGAAAGATTACTGGTTGGATCGAGAGGAAGCATCTCCGACAAAGTGGCGGAGATCTTGGTTTCGACGACGCGAACGCCGGCATTATTTAGAACTATGCATGGTTGGTGGTTCTGATCGGCGGAGATGCGGCCGACGAGGTGGGGGAAGTAGGAGAGGACGCGGGAGAGGCCGGATTTGAGGGATTCATTGGAGGGGGTTGGGGGAAGGAAGGCGTAGAGGGTGGGGACGTGGAGGTCGAAGGCGGCGCGGTCGAAGATTGTGAGAGGGACGAGGTTGGGTTGGGAGAGGGGGAAAGAAACGGCTTTGAGGGTGGTGGCGTTGATGACCTGTATCGCCATGGCCGGGAAGAAGAGGAAGAGCAGAAATTGATGGGGGGGTTGGAGATGGGAAGGGGGATATATATAGGTCTGTAGGGTAAGGGAGTTGTTGTGCGAAGGCTCCGAAGAATGATTTAAATATTTTTTTTTTTGGGACCGTCCAGCCGCAGTCCCGATCTCTAATATTATTATTTTAATTCAACAGAATGATAAAAAATTAATAAAATTATTAAAAAAAATAATGTATTTATACTTTATTT